GAACCGGGTAGAGGGGACTCTAAGCCCAGAAATCATCTCAAGATAACCTCAAGAAAATAACCTCACATTGTTGAAAGGCTGTGTTAGCCTGCTCGTTAGATTTGGCTTGGTACTCTTACTCTTTTGTCTGCCCCCTCTTCTCACCTCTCCTCTTTCCGAAAGATGTCATTGCACAAGTTGTTTCGTTGGTGGTTTTTTCATGCTGCTCTATTAATCGGCTGTTGTTTTCTTGGGTTATGCCCTCTTTTGGAGGTAGTCTGGTCGAGTGGGGACATCACCGGTGTTGGTTGAGAATTCCTTGGGTGGGGTCACGTTTCCGGACTATAGTGCTTCCTGAGGAAGGTACCTCCTCTGCTCAACATTGCAATCATGTGTTGCGTTGGACTGGTCTGCTAGGGGTTTGCACTAGCCTTTTTGGGGTTTGCCCCTTTAATGCCATCATGGGGTAGCATCTGCCCTGCTTTGCCTGCTCCTGGTCCATGATTTATGACCTTTTCTGGTTGTTTCCTATGGCCTTCAGTGAAGTTGGTGAGTTGGTCAGTTGTTTTAGTGAACCCAAATGGCCTCCCCCATAATTGGGGTCAGTCCATTTGAGTTAAGAGGCCTCCTTGGCACTGTCAAATCATTGCAGATTGGTTGGTCTCTGGTATAATCGAGCTGATGTAGGACTCGGAGAAACTCCGGTACATCCTTAGTCCTCCAGGACCGAACATCTTCATCCCCCTGCCTGACCTTCCACATGACCAATTTGGTCCAAGTTGGCCTGCTACTTACACGCTGGAGCTTGGATGGTGTTCTTGGACATCATTAATGTGTATTGGCACGTCCCTATTCATCTATGGTTCAGGGACTGATTAGACTTTGTTGTGGGGCGTGTCAAGTTTTCTGTTTCAGGGTTCTTTCTTTGAGCTTGAACCTAGCCCCAGCGTGTTTACCAGGCTTATGTGGGTCATTGTGGCCCTGTTGCATTTGTTAGGGGTTTTGATGTTGGCCTACCTCGATGACTGGCAGGTGTGGGGCCCCCAGTTGACCCGTATGTCAACTGGCCAGGGGTCTGGTTCTTTCCCAACTTGTCGACTGCAGGTTCCTGATGAACTGGCAGAAGTCCCAGTTGGTTCCAGTTGGTTCCATCCCAGGTTCTGACTTGGCCTCGTGTAGGACTTTCAGTTGGCGTCTTTTTCCCTGCCTCCGGTAGTTTTGTTCTTCTTTCAGCTATGTTGCCATCTGGTGTTGAATTGCCCAGTGTAAATGACGATAGGTCGAATGGTTGTACAAGAACCTGAACTTTGCCTGTTGTGCGTTTTCCTTCGGTAGGGTTTACCTCCCAGTGTTATACCGGTTCCTCTAGTTTTACCTGAATTTACCTGAGAGCCACTGACACTAGGGACCTCGACGAGAACAGGAAGCCGGAGGCTTGTAGAAGATCCTCCCATTTGCCTTGACAATGTTTCCTTTTGGATTTTGAAATTCAACAGTCTTGGCATTTACGGCTTCAGCAGGTAGGCGGTTCCATAGGTTAATAAAAGGTACGCTTGACTATTCCGAGGGTTTGGTTAGCTTCTCTTACTGCTGCTTCTACCTGTTGTGCAACTTTCAGTAAGTGGCGGCTTTTGACTCCAAGCTCCTTTTTTTCATCAATCTACTGTAATTGAATGTTATTAATTTTGTAGTCGTGGCGTGGGTTACAATGCCCCACATGCAAGGTTTTGCATTTGTCGATATTAAAAAGCATTTGCCAGTCTTCTGACCACTTGTGGAGTTCATATAAGCTCCATATTATTTACCACTTTACTTATATTTTTGTCATCTGCAACTTTGATGATGTGGTTGGCAATATTCTCATCTATGTCATTGATGTATATGACAAAAAGGCTTGGCCCCAAAATGGACCCCTGTGGTATCCCACTTACCACATTTCTCCAGTCAAATATAGTACAATAATAATATTAATAATAATTATTATTATTATTATAATAGTCTTCCACACTTCCGTGGAGATAAACATTCCATTCACCTGGGCTCTTGGAGACTTGAACCGCGGACACCACGTGTGTGAGGCTGAAGCTCTATCAACTGCACAATTGAGTAGTCTTAATAAGAAACGATTCCAGAAGCAACTACCGCTACCAAGCTGGAATTTTTCGACTTTCCCTGACTACTAGTGAAGCTCAGAGGAATTAATGCTCCATGTCCACGCCATATAAATTGTCATCCATACTTCCCTGGAAATAAACATTCCATTCACTTCGGCTCTAGGAGACTCGAACTGTGGATCCCAACGCATGTGAGGCTGATCCTTACCTTGTGTGTACATCGTTATTAAGGATGAGCCTTACCTTTCCTTATCAAGGCTACTCAATAGTCCAGTTGATAGAGCTTTGGCTTCACACGCGTTGGGTCTGCGGTTCCAGCCTCCTAGAGCCCAGGTGAATGGAATAATAATGATAATAATAATAATAATAATTATAATCACATAGAAATCACATTAACGTGTTATATATATCAATGAGAATAATCCACTAGGGCAATGAGGTGGGTGCAAACCTACGACTTTGGCGTTGCCAAGCCGCATACTCTACCACTAGACCACCACTGACCTGTTAAACTCATACAACAGGATTCCTACTGATATCACAGGAAGTCTGGAGGCCCCTACTGAAGCCAGTCTAGGTTTTATGTATGACCCACAAACACTCGGGTGGAAGTGCAGAGTGGTCCCACACCTTACTTCAGAAACACAGAAATCGCATTAATGATATCAATGAGAAAGACTGGCGACGCTAAAGTTATTGGTTCGTGCCCACCTCATTGCCCTGGTGGATTTTCTCAATGATGATGATGATAATAATTGCCCTTTAATATTGGTTGTGGTTCACAATATACCTTTCCTCCAGAATCCTGGGTAGACAATTCAACAGAGATATAGCTTTTACATCACTCCAATTTGAAATCCCAAGAGCTTTGTTGGTCCCCTGCCTGTTGCTATGACAACTGATGTTGCACCCTTCTAATCGGCACGCCGTTTGATCTCGCACTTTCTTGCATGTTGCGTCACGTAGCTGATTGACAGTGAGGTTTTGTTCCCTTTGGGCACTCCACATTTGTCATACTATTGTAACAACTGTAAATTACTTAACTGTCTCTTAAGTGATAACTCTTGTTACCACGTTTCCCTTTGCATATGTAACTACTCATAGCGTCCATGCCCCAGAAAGGCATTGTACAGATCTCTGTAGGGCACCACTTCATCAGGCAACTGAACAACAGTTGTCACTAATGACTTGTGTGTGGCCCTATTCCATTAGGCTGCCATTTGTTAATAATTCCTATTTCAGGTTACAGTGTGGTCCTAATTAACTTAGATGATTGTAATGCCCTTCAAGAAGACCTGGAGAAAATAAGTATATGGAGCACCACTTGGCAAATGGAATTTTATGTGCATAAATGCCATGTTATGGAATGTGGATTAGGAGAATATAGACCCCACACAACCTATAAATTGTGTGGAAAATCTTTAAAGACTTCTGATAAAGAAAGAGCTCTAGGGGTGGTTCTAGATAGAAAACTATCACCTGAGGACCACATTAACAACATTGTACAAGGAGCCTATGCTATACTTTCTAACTTCAGAATTGCTTTTAAATACATGGATGGCGAAATACTAAAGAAATTGTTCACGACTTTTTTTAGGCCAAAGCTAGAATATGCAGCGGTTGTGTGGTGCCCATATCTTAAGAAGCACATCAACAAACTGGAAAAGGCGCAAAGACATGCCACTAAATGGCTCCTAAAACTGAAGGACAAGAGCTACAAGAAGAGGTTAGAGGCATTAAATATGCCAAAACTAGAAGACAGAAGAAAAAGAGGTGATATGATCACTACATACAAGATAATAACAGGAATCGATAAAATTGATAGGGAAGACTTCCTGAGACCTGGAACTTCGAGAACAAGAGGTCATAGATTTAAACTAACTAAACACAGGTGTCAAAGAAATATGAGAAAATTCACTTTTGTAAACAGAGTGGTAGACGGTTGGAACAAGTTAGGTGAGAAGGTGGTAGAGGCAAAAACAGTCAGTACTTTCAAAGCGTTTTACGACAAAGAGTGCTGGGAAGACGGGACACCACGAGCGTAGCTCTCATGCTGTAACAACACTTAAGGTAATTACACTTTAAATAAAAAATATAATTTAAAACGGAACCTTCAGGTTACCTCCACTACACCACGGGGGCCTGCTTGCCACGGAGACTGAATATTTATTATATTTCTCAATTTATGATAACATAGTTTGGCATGATAACCAAGTGGGCAGCACCGTGGGAAGAGTTCTTCAGCTGCGTACGTAATAAACTCCCAGCTACCAATACTATCTTTTGAACCAATTCACAATGGCCTTGATGAGGGTTCGAACCTACGCACGGGTTGCTCCCAGACGCGCCTCGGTCAACTGTACCAACGACACGGTCAAAAGAATTGCAACCTGGAGTGCTACTGCCCTCACGAGGATCCCGAGGTTTCCCTTGTGGATTTGTTCATTGAGATATCACGTTACTGTGATTTGTGTGTGTGTAATGCTATCTTAGTTATGTGATGGAAAGTAGCTATTATTTATTGCTCATGACATAACAAAAAACCATGTACTGCTCAAAGAAATTATAAGAACAATGTGAATCTATAAATAAATATTAAGGCAATACAGTCTTATGGAATTGTTTAGTTGTCTTGCTCTGAGAAAGTATTGCACTTGGATTGATTATGTTGACAAATGGAGCAACTATGAATGAGGGATATTAGTCTTGTAATGAATACTTTTCATAATCCAAAGTATTTAGTGGACAGTAATTGGAAATAGGAAAGTAGAAGACAAGTTAGTAAACAATGTTGTGAACATTCGTGGGGAAAAATGGTGTTTATAGTACTGTGTATGAGAAGTTTCATTGTAATTTGCATACTGCCTACATCAAAATGTTTATTTTATGAACGGTGTTATTTTTCAGTATGGTGCAATTGAAAGATGCAAGGAGCTAATTGAAGGTGGCTATGATATTAACAAGAGAGATAATGAAAATGTTACACTTCTGCACTGGGCAGCTATCAACAACAGAAGAGAAATTGTCAGGTGAGGTTGCCTCATTCTTACCATTTGTTATGATGGCCTATAATAATTATCAGGTGTAAGAATGAACTCGCCTAGTTGTGCTTGCGGGGGTTGAGCTTCGGCTCTTTGGTCCCACCTCTCAACTGTCAATCAATTGGTGTACAGGTTCCTGAGCCTACTGGGCTCTATCATATCTACATTTGAAACTGTGTATGGAGTCTGCCTCTGCCTCGTGCCGTCAGTCCTTGGAGTTGGAATGTGTACCGGGTGCCACAAGCCAGAACCTGGCTCGCCCTCAGGCGAAGGGAGCAATGACCATATGAGCTCTCTATGTGTAGAGTTTGTCATGTCTGCCATCGACTGGGGAAAGGCACCTAGAAAGGTAGGTGAATCATTACAAACCTCTAACTGGCAAAAATTGCAATCTACATCTGAACAGCGGCCCAGAACTCTCCCAATAGAAAACAATGAATCAAGCAACACCTCATCCAACTAGCGCGCCCCCTCGTTAGTGCCTCACCCTCCCCTGACTTGGGGGAGGGGGGAGACCCTAGCTCTGGTAAGCAGGCCTCACCACCTTCAGTTCATAGACTGATGTGGTGGTATCCGCATGTCCTCTCTGCCTCAATTTCTTGTCTAGCTTTACATTTGTGACTTTGCCAGCTGTGTTGTATGGTGGGCCAGGTGTTCCTACAAGTATACTGGGCTGCATGCGCCTAGGGCTCCCTTCCCTTGGTGCCCGGTAAGTACTTCCCTTGTGGGTCAAGGTTTTCTTCCCTGGGTCATTTGGGTCTCACTCCAATTTGAGGATTTCATCTCTTGGTGTTGTTCTTGCCCTTGGGGTTTGACGTGGGGCTTCCTGTCTTGCCCCAGGTAGGGAATGGGTTTGTGCTGGGTGGGGCGCATTGCAACTGGCACAGCTTGCATTCAATGGCGGCCGAAGATTCTCTCTGGGGACTGGTTAGTCTGTGTGTGTGATGCTTCGGGACAGTTTTTGTTTCTTTGTTGTTAACGTATTCTCGCTTCCTTGGCAGAGGAGGTCTGCCTAGCTTCCCATTAGGCTAGGCTAGGTTGTGTTTGGTAGCCCTCCTCTGTTGCCCTGAGGTTTCACAGTGATGCCGGTTATCATTTTGTCTACAGCAGATAAGGGGATACCGTCAGCTTCTCGGAGGTCGTGTCGGCCCTTTAGTGGGGTGTCCTGTTGATGGGGGGGATGAGAGGGAGGCTGGCTCTGTTTGCTCATGCTTGATCCCATACTCGTGGGCTTTACATGTCATCTCGTTTGGCCTTTGGTGCCGTTGGGCAGCGGCTCCTCCGAAAAGGGGTTCAGGGCTGGTGGGGCAGGCTTCTTCCCCATCTGGGTTCGCATGGGCAGGATCAAAACGACTTCGTCCCTCAAGTGGGTTCCCGCTTGTTTCCGGTTCCGAAACAAGGGACTGTGCGGATCTGTGGTTCATTCTGGACTTGTCCCATCTGAGCCGTTGGATTCCTTGCTCTCCTTTCAGACGACTACTTTGTCCCAGGTCCTGTTTCTTCTCAACCTGGATACTTTGTTGATATCCCTGGACATCAAGGACGCATATTGGCACGTTCCTATTCATCCGGGGTTCAGGGATTGGCTAGGTTTCGTGGTTGGGCGTCAGTCTTGCTGCTTTTGTTGCCTTCCATTTGGCACCTCATGGGTTCACACGTTTAACCCGGGTCGCGGTGGCCCGTCTTCATTTGCTAGGAGTTCAGGTTCTGGCTTACCTCGACGACTGGTTGGTTTGGGCTCCCAGCCGGTCTGCATGTCTGCTCGCCATGGATATGGTTCTTTCCCAGCTTGCCAGGTTTGGGTACTGGTGAATTGGAAGAAGTTCCATCTGGTTCCATCTTGGGTTCAGACTTGGCTGGGCCTCATGTGGGATTCTCGGACTGTGTCTATTTCTCTCCCTCCTGTGGCATTGCTGCTACTGCAGTCCCATCATCTGCTGTTTTTGAGGAGGAACCGGGTCACTCAGTCGTTGCTCGAGCAGCTGTGCGAGAGCCTAAACTTTGCCTTGCTGGTTTTCCCGCTGGGCAGGGTCTGGTATCTTCAAGGCTGCCCCTTTCGCCGGTCTTGTGATCGCTGGGTTCGACCTCCGGGGGTCCTTGCGTCGGTTGTTGCATCACTGGCTTTATCTTCGGGTTTTTCGGGGTTCGGTGCCTTGGCACTTTCTCCTTCCCTCATTCGATGTGTTCACGGACGCCTCGTCCTTCGGCTGGGGTTTTGTGACTAGTGCTCGCCATGCCAGCCAGGGATGTTGGGCTCCATTCTTCTGTTGGGCTCACATCACAGTGAGAGAGTTTGTTGCTGTGTGACTGGCTCTGCAGCAGATTCAATTGGCTCGGAGCTTGGTGATTCGGCTCCATTTGGACTGTTCTACTGTGGTTTATTGTCTCAACTATGGAGTGTACAGTCCTTGGCTCCTTGGGGCTTGTCACTTCGAGTAGCTCTTCTGCCGAGTTCTCGGGGCCTTGCTCCCCACGCCATTCACATTCAACGGCCTGTCTCGCTTCATTCCTCTTTCCATGCAGTGTACGGTCGATGCCACCTCCTTCCTTTGGCTTTGTCGGACGTTCGGGTGCCCGGAGGTGGATTTCTTCACATCAGCTTGGTCCAGGCGCGCCTCCCCATATACGTGGCGGCTGTTCCCCGAATATGGAGCATTCACAGTGTTTTCCGGGAGAACTGGTCAAGGTGGGGGGGGGGGGGTTCCTGTACCTTCAATCTCCGGTCCAGCTATTGCTTCGGGTTCGCTACTGCTCAAATCTTATCGAGGAAAAGTGGTTCTCCTGGTCCCGTGGTGGCCGGCTCAGCCTTGGTTCAGATGCTACTTGCACGGTGTCCGAACCCGGGAGCTTTTCCACGGCTCCACCTCTTTCAGCAGGTCGGGCTAGTGAAGTACCTCTCTGGTTCGACATACTTTTTCGCGCTTCACCTCTGGTTTTTTGACACAGGTGTATTGCCATTTGTATGGTGATCAGGTGGCTTCGTTGGAGGGGAGGGGGGAGTGTGTCCCACCTGCTGTCTTCCTTTCAGCAGCAGTATGAAATCTTATGGCGGTCTTTCTGCCCTTTCCTTTCCCTTCTTAGGGTTTTATCAATGTCTGTTCCAGTTGTTTTGTCCTTTCTTGGCTCTTTCAGGACCAGCGTCTTCTGCTGAATACTGTCGCTTCTTACCGTGCGGCACTGATGGAGCCACCTCAGCTTGCATTCGGGTTGCATGTCACTTCTGCTCCATTCCTCAAGCTCTCTCGTGCGTTTTTTCACCTCCGGCCTGCTTGTGTGCTGCCCAAGCCTTCCTGGTGTTTGGACTGGGTACTCTCGTTTCTCTCTTCCTCAGTTTGTGCTGGCCCCTTCGGTCCAGGATTGTTTTCTCAAGGCTTTATTTTTGTTGGCTTTAGCCTCTGGGGGTCGAGTGGGGGAGCCTCATGCTCTTCTCCGGTGCAGGAGTGTCTGCTCTTTTGGCACTGGGGGTCATTTTGTTCGTTTGCAGCCTTCTCCTTCTTTTCTGGGGAAGAATGAGACGGCTGGTTTCTGGAGGGGTCCTTGGGTTGTTAACGTTTGGTTTGTTAGGCTAGGGGTGTATCATGTTTTGTGTCCGGTTGCGGCTTTGTCGCTACCTGCAAGCTACTGGTTCAGCGACAGTAGAATATGTCTTGGGTCGATATTCCAGTGCAGGGGTCTTAGAAATCGAACAGAGTCCTGGCCGCCAGATATCTTGTTAACGTCCCAGGCACTCTGTGGCCTTGTGTGACCTTGGGTCGTCTGTGGCGGCCAATTGTCTCGTCTTCATCGTGAGACCTGCGGTGCTGCCGCTTCCCGGGTAAGTCCCTGTTTTTACTTATCTGTGGGTAGATAGCTTCGTGGAGCTGATGGGATCTGTGGGTTGATAGCTTCATGGAGCTGATGGGGCCCCCCCTCCCCCACCCCACTCCTCAGAAAACCAGCGTTGAATGTAACGCTATTTTCTGGGTGAGCTCCCGAGTCTCCCTGAAACCCACCCTTCCCTGCGGTTGGCGTTTTTTCATCATTCTCCGAGCTAAGTGTGGTGCGGCCTGCTCATCTGAGTGGGGTCCCTCCTCCCCACTCAGGAGGGTGAGGTGCTAACGCGTGGGCACGCTAATTGGATGACGTGTTCATTGTTTTCTATTGGGGAAGTTCTTTGGCTCTTTTCAGACGTAGGTTGCAATTTTCACCAGTTTGAGGTTTGTAATGGTTCACCTACCTTTCTGGGTGCCTTCCCTGGTCTATGGCAGACATGACAAGCACTACATATAGAGAGCTCATATGGCCATTGCTCCCTTCGCCTCTCTGAGGGGGGACCAGGTTCTGGCTTGTGGTCCCTGGTAGGCACTCGAATTCCAAGGACTGATGTCGCCAAACTAATATGGCACATGTCAGTTTGATAACTTCAGGGAGCCTGGGGAGCCGGTCAGCCAAGCGGACAGTACGCTGGACTTGTGATTCTGTGGTCCCAGGTTTGATCCCGGGCGCCGGCGAGAAACAATGAGCAGAGTTTCTTTCACCCTATGCCCCTGTTACCTAGCAGTAAAATAGGTACCTGGGTGTTAGTCAGCTGTCACGGGCTGCTTCCTGGGGGTGGAGGCCTGGTCGAGGACCGGGTCGCAGGGACACTAAAGCCCTGAAATCATCTCAAGATAACCTCACGATAGCCTCCAGGGTTTTCTCAGAAAATTGCTTTTCATTACATTAAACGCTGTTTTTTTATGACCCCTTTTGGCATGTTTGGTGGTTGACGGCAATATTAGGTTGCTGTTTTATCCCTTTGATTCGCTGCCCCGTGGAGGGCCAAGATAGAGTAGCAAAAACTTGCTTGCTACTGGTGATCCGAGATGTTCATAGAAATCAACCAATTCAATTGTGACCTATTGGTTTTAGTTTTGGAAGCAGTCAAGGTGCCAACCAGGAAGGGAAAGTATCATTACATCCAGCATTTTTTAATTTTAAAAGAAGAGCTCTTAGTTTATTGCCAGAGTACCATGACTACAATAAACGTAACTTGTTTTGACAACATTGATATTTTATTTGATGTGTACTAAACTTTATCTGCTGAATGTATCAAGATGTATTTATTAGCTTTCAACAAGTTGTATCTTTAGTATACACCAGAATGTATTTTTAGAGAGCACTTGTAACACCATGAATGGTTTTATTTAATATATTCCCCTGATACAAACACTGTTCACCAAGGAAATTGTGTTGCAAGTTTTTCTGGTGCTAGACAAAACAAAGTCACCTCATAGGTGTTAATGTTCACATAATGGACAAGGGTCGGAGCCGGTCGGCGGAGCGGACAGCACGCTGGACTTGTGATCCTGTGGTCCCGGGTTCGATCCCAGGCGCCGGCGAGAAACAATGAGCAGAGTTTCTTTCACCCTATGCCCCTGTTACCTAGCAGTAAAATAGGTACCTGGGTGTTAGTCAGCTGTCATGGGCTGCTTCTTGGGGGGTGGATGCCTGGTCGAGGACCGGGCCGCGGGGACACTAAAAAAAGGCCCGAAATCATCTCAAGATAACCTCAAGAAGAAGGGTTAGGTGTGTGGGTGACCTTCCCCAGCTCCAGAACCTGGGCTAAGCTGATAATTGCAGACGGTTCCTTGTGTCTTTCCATCAAGTCCCTGCTGTGTGATAGACAGCCGTGGGCTATCTCCAGTAGGCGGGGTTTAGGATATAAGGGTGGCAACTGCCCTTATATACAGGGGGCATTTGTACATTGTAAAGCAGAGGGAGAGGCTCGTGGCTCTTCCATTGAGGATTCAACTTTGGAGGTCAGACACTTCTTGAGACTGTCTAGGCCAGCGGTGGGCCTTGGCGAACAGCACAGTGCCCCCCCCCCTCCCCCTTCCCACTCACTTTAAACAGCTTATTCTCTGAGACCTTCGGTGAGTTTGGGTGTGAGGTGATGTATTTTGATTGTAAATTATATGTAGTGAAATTTCAGGGGCAGTCTGCCATATTGGTCTCACTTGGTACAGTGACTATGATTCTCTGAGTGTTAATATGGCAGAAGTCAAGGGGGACTAATAGTCCATCCATATTATTGAATTATAGTGAGACATGTATAATAATATAAACGAATAATCTCCTAAGTTAATTTTAGTTATCTTTAATCTGGTACCTTAAGATCTTGTATTCATTTCTTAACGCAGGCAGTGTGAAAGACAGTTTGCCGAGCACTCTGAAAACTGCTTACTAAAGATTCAGACTTTGCAGTTATGTTTCTGATTTAAATGGTTACAGTTATTTCATGTTATCTAATAGATGAAACTATGCAAAAAAAAAAAAAAAAAGATGAGTTCCATTGCTTGTCTTGTATACCTGTACAGTACAGTATATATATACAGAGAAGCCTCGATTAATGAACTTAATCCATTCCGGCATCGAGCTTGTCAATGTGAAATGCTCGTCTTTCGAAACGAATTTCCCCATTTCAAATAATGGAAATAAAATTAATTTGTTTCACCGCAGAAATACATCAATATGATATTCAATTTTTTAAATAATGGAGCAGCCTACTTGACATACACTGAACGAACCCTTATGACTTTTTTTTTCAAATTTGTTCAATTTTTTATTTTTTATTTTTTTTTAGAGAATAGAGCAGCCTACCTGACATACATGTACGAACCTTTGTGACATTTTTTCTTTTTTTCATTTTTTCTAAAAAAAAAAATCAATGCTGCAACATTACAGCAATCACCCCGGAGCCGGTCAGCCGAGCGGACAGCACACTGGACTTGTGATCCTGTGGTCCTGGGTTCGATCCCAGGCGCCGGAAAGAAACAATGGGCAAAGTTTCTTTCACCCTATGCCCCTGTTACTTAGCAGTAAAATAGGTACCTGGGTACCAGCTGTCACGGGCTGCTTCCTGGGGGTGGAGGCCTGGTCGAGGACTGGGGCCGCGGGGACACTAAAGCCCCGAAATCATCTCAAGATAACCTCAGGATAACCCCTTTACATCCCTGCATCATTAGCATCTTTTAAAAAAAAATCTTATTTGGTCTGAGAATTTGCGAGAATGCTAAGAATCACCACGTGGTTTTCTCGTTAATGGAGCGGAAGTTCCTCAATCGAGAAATTTTTTTCTCCAAGTGGCTCGCTCGTTACTCGAAATGCTTGTAGATGGAGTCGCTCGTCACTCGAGGTTCCACTATGAATGAATGGTGGCACCTATTCCCATTTATCTCCTACACTAATTCCTTTTACCAAGTCTACCTTTCATCCCATTTTCTACCTCTACAATTTCCTTTCTGAAAACTCTCTGAAACTCTTTTCCTCACTCTCACCTATTCCTACTTCCCTTTTCCTCTCCAGCTCCTTTCTTGTGTATTGTTTATCTTTTTCTCTTATTTATCTATGTTATGATGGATAATTTTTACCCCCTTCCTCCTCACACTACTCTTCATCCCATCTTCTATCTCTCTACTTTCCATTTCATTTTATTCTCTACCTCCCTTCTTCCACCTCGCTCTTCCTCCCTTTATGCTGTTTTTCCGATCTTAATTTCCCTCTCTAGCTCTGTCCTTGCATGTTGTTTATCACTTCCCATTTTTCAATCTTCTCCAACTCTATTCATTTTCTTATGACACGTTACACATTAAACTGGATCTGCTGTGTACACCAGCTCCTTGTGCAAATATCACGACCTATTTATGCAGATGATGAGTCACAATAACGTGGCTGAAGAAATGATGATCCAACCACAATTCAGAAGACGGAGGATCGACGACGTTTTGGTCCGTCCTGGACTGATCAAGTCGAGATTAACCAAGACCGATCAAGATTATCAAGTCGTGTGAGACTTGATAATGGTCCAGGACGGGCTGACACGTCGTCGCTCCTCTATCTTCTGAGTTGCGGTTTGGTCATCATGACCTATTTATGCACACATTTCCTTAGTAAATATATTATATCTTAGAGATGGTGAGGCTAAATTTGAGAACCCTTGTACATTTTTTGTTTTTTTGTTTACAGATACTATATATCCAAAGGTGCGGTGGTGGATGCGGTTGGTGGGGAGCTGATGTCAACTCCATTACATTGGGCAACTAGGTAAGTTTCATGCAATTACCTAAGTATAGTTACAGGATGAGAGCTACGCTCCTGGTGTCCTGTCTTCCCAGCACTCTTTGTCATATAACGCTTTGAAATTATTGACGGTTTTGGCCTCCACCACTTTCTCACCTAACTTGTTCCAACCATCTACCACCCTCTTTGTGAGAGTGAATTTTCTTCTATTCCTTCGGCAGCTTTCTTTAGTTAGTTTAAATCTGTGACCTCTTGTTCTTGAAGTTCCAGGTCTCGGGAATTCTTCCCTATCAATTTTATCGATTCCTGTTACTATTTCGTACGTAGTGATTATATCGCCTCTTTTTCTTCGATCTTCTAGTTTTGGCATTTTTAATGCGTCTAACCTCTCCTTGTTGCTTTTGTCCTTCACTTCTGGGAGCCATTTAGTGGCATGTCTGCCCCTTTTCCAGTTTGTTGATGTGCTTCTTAAGATATGGGCACCACACAACTGCTGCATATTCCAGCTTTGGTCTAGCAAAAGTCGTGAACAATTTCTTTAGTATTTCTCCATCCATGTATATAAAAGCAATTCTGAAGTTTGAAAGCGTAGCATAGGCTCCTCGCACAATGTTCTTAACGTGGACCTCAGGTGACAAGTTTTCTATCTGGAACCACCCCTAGATCCCTTTCTTCGTCAGATTTCTGTAAAGATTTCTCACATAATTTATAGGTTATGTGGGGGGTCTATGTTCTCCTATTCCACATTCCATAACATGGCATTTATTCACATTAAATTCCATTTGCCAAGTGGTGCTCCATATACACAGTATCCACTCAATTTAACGGCATATATGGGGCTGTACCCTGGTCGTTATTTCCGGAGCTCCGGTATTTCCGAAGTTAAGTCGGGTCGGGTAATTTTTCAAGTAACATTCAGGTAAGATATATTTTCTGGGGGGAGCCCCGTCGGCTCCCCGGAGCTCTCCAGGCTGAATGGATATGTATAACTTTCTGGCATCAGTCAAAGTGCTAGGAGTTTTTGCCTACCGGGGACCACGAGCCAGAACCTGGCCCCCTCAGAGAGGCACGAGGAGCAATGGCCTATAGAAACCCCCTTGTGATTGGGAGCATTCTATGTCTGCCATCAACCGGGACAGGCACCCAGAAAGGTAGGCGCCCCAAAACAAACCCCTATTCTGGTGAAATTATTGCTACCGAAGGTTGAACGAGTGGACAGAACTCGCCAAACAAAATTATCAAACTAGCATGACGTCATCATGTCGCTGCGCCACCGTCTGCGCAACCCCTCCCCCCTTCCCGAGAGGGGGAAGGGGGAGCCCCAGACCCTCCACGCCGGCGATCCAACTATCAGTTCTTGGCTGATGGTCATACTGGCTGGTCGAGTGCCTCTGGCTCCGGTTTTTGTTTCAGTTCTGTGCCTTGTGGTGTGGACTGGCTCTACCGGTGGGGTGTGAGCCAGGAGTAAGATTCCACAGTACTCGGGCTGCATGCGCCTAGGGCTATCTTCCCTAGGTGCCCTGTAAGTACTGCCCTTGGGGCTTGGGGCCACCTTCCACAAGTCACCTTGGGTTCTGCCTCCGCTGTGTCCTTTACTGCTCGGTACTGGGCTGTCCTTGGAGTCGGCTGGGGTTTTGTTGCCCTGGTTTGTCTCTGGGTAGGTGGTAGTTTTCGTCACGGGCAGGGGCGCGGGGTACTGCACAGCTAGTTTTCACCATTAACAGCGGCCGGCTCTGTTCTGCCTGGGTACGTTGTCCTCTTGCTGGGTTTTTCTTTTGTTTTTGTTTTTGCCTGGTGGGGGGTCTGCCTTTACTATGGTCCCCCTTTCCTGTTCTAGGTGAATTTCTTTCGAATTCTTCTGTTGGCGGTACTCCCCGCTTGGCTCCCGTGAGTGGACACGTCCCGGGGGTTCAGCTTTAGCAGTTTGTTGGTAGATTTGGGCGCCGGTTCGCGGTACCCTGCCTGGGCTTCTCTTAGCGTGTACCAAAGGCTAAGGGCCCTGGGAAACCCCACGGGGGGCTCCGTGGTCCCCTAGATGTGTCCCCGGAGTCCCCCTCGCATCCTGCGAGTTTGAAGGTTGCTCTGTCCCCTTGTCTCAGGGTGACACTCACCTGTTGTGCCTCCGCCATGCTGCCTGTTGGGTCCTTGTTCTTGTGACTCGGAGTCGTCCGATGATTGTTGTCGGTACGCGCTCTCCTTCACCCAGGCCACTGGTCTTGATAATCGGGTGCAGGCGGCTGCGGCGTTGCTTGCTGGGTGTGTTGCTGCAACGCTCTTGGTTTGCAGCCCCAGATGCCCCGAGGCTGCCCCGTTTTGGTGGTTGGGGTCTGGACTTGGGGGTGGGGGTAGCTTCGGCTCTGGCTCCTTCCGCTTCTTGTTCCTCCCCTTCTGTTCTACTCCCTCCCTTGCTTCCTGCTCCGAACCATAGGAGGGTTTCGGGGTTGGGGCGGGGTCTGGTTGGGTTGAGACTCGGGCGGTCTCGGGGGTTTTCCTCTTCCGGGGTGGCAGCGGAGGCATTCGAGTCGGTTCCTCCAGCCGTGCCGTATGGGTCTGACCAGTGGGCTCCCTTCATTAGTATTTGCTTGGCTGCCCCGGCTTTTCCTTGTTAAGCTGGGGCTTTGGGGGTGCGGCTCGGCCCTGGGTCATGCCGTAGAGGTTCCCGAGGTTAGGGAGGGGTTACCTGAAGGGCCTCGGCCCCGTTTGCCCCTCTTGGGTCCTTGTACCTTTGGTGTGGGGCTGGCAGTTCCTCAGAGTGGGGTTGTTCCTTCCCTCTGGGTTCCTGTTGTTTTCGGGTATACGCCTCCCTGGGTTCGGTTCCGTGTTCCTTCGGGTTCGTCGGTCCCGTCGTTCATGGGGGTGTTTCACCCCCTTTTTCCTTACCCTTTTCGCTCTTATGTCGCGATGCTGTTCACGAAAAAAAAAAAAGTGTTCAGGTAAGGTACATCCATACAAGGTGTGTAACAAACATTGATGGATGTCTATCTTGGCCTAGTACGCAGGGCCTCAACCGTTTCGTATCATTGTACCTGCAAGTTCCTTGGTCAGGGGTGCTTGTCGGGGTTCTAAATAAATAATAAATATAAATGTTTATTTAGGTAAGGTACGTACGTCCGAGAGATTTTACAAAGAATGATAGATTTATGGATAGGGCAAAGCGTTCTCGTTGGTTCACGAGTCTCTTCGTACCTTCCAATATTATTGGAATGTCTGTTGATTTTCGATGTGGTTTCCATCGGGTCTTTTGTCGGCCCCTTGTTGGTTCCCTTCCTTCATCTGTTTTTCTTTTGCTTCGTTTTCGCCTTGTTTTGTTTTCGCCTTGTTTTGTTTTTGCGTCGTCTCTACTTCCAGTTTCGGCGTTTCGGTGTTTGTACGATGTCTGTACGTTGTGTGTACGATTTGTGTGTCCGCCTGGTGTACGAGCCACGCCTCCCGGTGGACGGATGGTACGTTTCGTACCTCGTGTGCTGGGGCCGCGGTGTGCGTTTTGTTTACGGGCGGTACGCTCGTGTGTTCGCGCCGTTTCTCGTGGTTTTCTACGGCTTCTTGATCGTTTCTCCCTCCGGTCGTGGCCCTCTGGATGCTGAGGGTGTTCTGGATTTATGTCGGGGGATGTCACTTTGTTCTCCCTTTGTCCTGCTTCGTCTTCTGCAGGGCGCGCACCTCTGGCAGTATTCTCCTTCGACCTCGCATTTTGTTCAGGTAAGGGTACATACTGTGCCTACTGCCTCGAGTATGCATGGCTTTCAGGCACACTTTTAGTGCTGCTCCTAGTATGTTACTTGGCTCGCCTGTGTTATGGCACGGTCGGGTGTCTGCTCTGCAGGTGAGGTTGCCTTGTCTGGCGCTTCTGTCGGCCTAGTGCTGGTTCTCACTTTTGGTGGGGTGCTTGCCTAGTAGTGCTTGCGGGGGTTGAGCTCTGGCTCTTGGGCCCTGCCTCTCCTGTCAGTTGATGGTTGCGCAGTTTCCTGAGCCTTCTGGGCTCTGTCTTCTTGTTTGCTCCTGTGGGTGGCGTCTGCCTCCTCATGGCATTTTGGTGCTTTTGGCTTCCTTTCCCTCTGCCATTACTCGGGTTCTTTTTAGTGTCTGGCTCCTTTGGGTGCTCACTACCTCCTGTGTCCCCGTGTGCGTACATGCATACGGACATAAGTACAATGGCCCTGCGGAGGGCCTCTTGGCCCGTGCGAGGCAGCTACTCATTTAAATTAAATTTTGCTCCGAGGGGCGAGTTTCTTGGGCAGCGCCACTCATCTTGTGAGTAGACACACCGCCATAGCAGCTTGTACAACACTCCCCGATAGGAGGAATACCTGCTGGGTTGTTCATCCGGTCACTTGTACCCAGACACAGCTGGGATTTGCTTAACTGTCTCCAATGAACAGCTCCTCAAACAGGAAGATTATCATACATTCCCACTCACTTACATGTCCAACTCGCCCTTGCACCAATAGTGGGGCCCCACCACCACGTTACGTGGTAATTGGTTCCACACATCACCGGGCCTGTTACTGTGCCGCACGGGTGGCGTGTGCCACTATCCCAGTTTCTATTGTTTCGTGGAGATTGGTCAATTAACACAAACACTAAGGGACTACTTATCTTTTGTTGCATATACATTAGTTGTGGGTGATCGTTGGTGGGCAATGGTGCGGGTTGGGCGCACTGAGTGCCGGTACGGTGTCTCGAATGTCTGTTCTAGACCACACTTGCCGGTAGACTAGTTATTATTCGCTACTCTGCTGGTTATATGCTTGGACACCGCCTCAGTTCCCCACAGGTTGGCAGGACTTTTTGTTGGACATACATAACGGTTTGAGTTCCGTCGTTGGTACTTTGTGGAGCTTTGCTTCTCTCGTTAGGCTCATGCGTTTGGAGCGAGTATCTTCTTGGGATACTCTACTCCTTCCTCCACCCTTGTTCACTGTTCCATCCTTGTTTACTCTTCCCCGCTTGGCGGGATTGCGTTGATGGCTCCTGACTGGGGTGTTGGGTGTGGTGTTTGGTCACCTTGCGTGCATCTTTAGTGC